GACTCATAGCAAACCTATATAGGGGTTTCCGAGGAGTGGCTGGTGAATTTGAACTGCTGACCTTTCGGTTCAAATCGACTTTGCCATCAAGAGCATTATCCCACAGCACCACACCAGGACTCCTGACTTTACATTGTTGTTAAGTGCCGTTGAGTCGTTGAGTCAGTTCTGACCCTTAGCAACCCTGCATAGGGTTTCCAAGGAGTTGCTGGTGAGCTTGAACTGCTGACCTTGTGGTTCAAACCAACTTTGTAGTCCAGCGTGTTAACCCATAGCATCGCACCAGGACTCCTCTTGTTATAAAAACAAAAACAAAAAACGAACCCACTAGGCAAATTTAAAAACCATGCAAATGTTATTCATTATAAACATTTCATTTGGTAGATACATGGTTTGTCTTGTTAAGGTGGATTCAAATTGTCATCTAGTATACCCACTGTCATCAAGTCGATTCTGACTTATAATCACCCTATAGCTCAGAGCTCTGGTAGCATAATGGCTCCGAATCGGACTGTGAACCTCAAGGTCAGCAGTTCAAAACTACCAGCTGTTCCGCTGGAGAAAGACAAGGCTTTCTGCTCCCATAAAGATTTACAGCCTTGGAAACCCTGTGCAGGGTCGCTATGGGTCGGAACCGACTCCATGGTACTCAACAACAAGAATAGCTCAGAGCAGAACTGCCCCACAGGGTTTCCAAGTCTGCCAGCTTTGTAAAAGCAGGCTGCCACATCTTTTTTGTGTGTGGAGTAGCTGGGAGTTTGTACCACTGACATTTTGCTTAGCAAACACTTTAACTACTGCACCACCAGGGATCACTGATAAACGTATTGTTGCTGCTGCTGTTAGCTGCCAAGGACCGGCTAGTGGGTTTGAACCACTGACCAAGTGGTTGGCAGTCCAGTGCTTATCCTACAATGCCACACCAGGACAAAAGTATGAGCATGTGTTAATTTAGGTTGCTAAAGGAGCCATGGTATAGCACTGCGCTGGACTGCAGTTGGTTTGAACCTCAAGGTTGGCGGTTCAAGCTCACCAGTTGCTCTTTGGAAACCCTATACAAGGTCGCTATCAGTCAGAAATGACACGACAGCACTTAACAATAACAAAATGAGCTCTGGTAGCATGGTGATTACATGTTGGGCTGCTAACCACAAGGTTAGCAGTTCGGATTGGGAGAACAATGAGGTTTTCTGTTCCTGCAAAGATATACTGCCTCGTAACAAGGTTATTATGAGTCAGAACCGACTCGATGGCACTTAACAACAACAAACCTTATATAGGACCCCTATTGTGGTGCTATAGGATCAGCACTGGACTGCAAATCACAAGGTCAGCAGTTCAAACCCACCAGCTGCTCCTCAGAAACCCTATATACAGGGTCACTAGGAGTTTTAAATGACTCTACTGCACTTAACAACAACAACATTGGGGTTCAGTTCATGAGGAGGGGATACCTGATGGCGATTGCAATATATCAAGAATACACAGAAAGAGACAAAGAGAGAGACAAAGAGGCACCCCAAAGCCAGGGTGGATACATCACTGGTGGGCAGGC